AAGGCCGGCGACCGCTCCACACCCTCCCCGGCGCCCGTACTGCCCCCCCCCCCCGGACTCCCCTTACCGTTCTGGCTCCACGTGTTTGCAAAACACGCTGCCCGGTGGGTCGGGGTTTGTGTGTTACACAGGGCTGCAGACAGAGGGAGGGGGGAGCAGGGGAAGGCTCTGGCTGCTGGAGGCCAATGGGAGTGGGTCAATCGACCCAGCCACCCAATCAGCAGCCGCACTCTGCATGGATGGGAGGGAGGGAGGCGAGGGAGAAAAAACCCCTGGACATTTTAACCTTGTTACCAGTTCCTCCCAGACGGCTCTTTAGAGATGCAAAAGCCGGACATGTCCGGGGAAATACGGACGGATGGTAACCCTAGTTCAAGCCTTACACAGCATGGCTGCTCGGTCCCTGCAGCCCAGAGAACAACAGACAAAGGGAAAGTTTCTTTCCCAAATTTAAAAAGAACTAGCCTTCCCATTGGCTCTTTTGGTCAGGTGCCCACTCCTTTTCTTTTACCTGTGGGCTTATTAACCCTTTACAGGTAAAGCAAGCAGAGAACAGCTAATAAGAGGGATTTTACAGCTAACTGGCTGGCTGGATGTCCATCAAAGAGAGCTACTCCCACCCCCCTTCATGTATCACAGATGCTGATGGCATTGAAAAGTCTTTGAATGGTAACAATGGATGTTGGTACAAATCCTCTCTGTCAAGTTTAAAAGGAACAAACTTATAACGGCTGAGGGGAAAAAGGCTGAGAAAGCTGTGGTTCACACTGGTGAACTGGAGGGAAATTCACTCGTTTAAGTGACCAACACAAAGTATCTCCAGAAAAAGAAGTGTGCTTTATTTGTGAAATGAACATACCGTCAGAAGATTTGCATGAAGCTTCTTCCCTGGACATAGATCCTCAAGTCCACAGGCATGCAGTTCAGCTGAGAGCTCAGTGCTTGCAAAAGTAAGGCTTTGTCTACACTGGCAAGTGAAAGACAAAACTTTTCTCGTTCGGAGATGTTAAAAAAGAAAACACCCCCCCCCCAAAAAACAAAAGTTTTGTTGACATTAAGTGCTGGTGTGAACAGTGCTTTGTCGGCAGGAGTGCTCTACTAGAAATCTTTGAGGGGGTCAACAAGCATGTGGACAAGGGGGATCCAGTGGATATAGTGTACTTAGATTTTCAGAAAGCCTTTGACAAGGTCCCTCACCAAAGGCTCTTAAGCAAAGTAAGCTGTCATGGGATAAGAGGGAAGGTCCTCTCATGGATCGGTAACTGGTTAAAAGATAGGAAACAAAGGGTAGGAATAAATGGTCAGTTTTCAAAATGGAGAGAGGTAAATAGTGGTGTCCCCCAGGGTCTGTACTGGGCCCAGTCCTGTTCAACATATTCATAAACGATCTGGAAAAAGGAGTAAACAGTGAGGTGGCAAAATTTGCAGATGACACAAAACTAGTCAAGATAGTTAAGTCTCAGGCAGACTGCGAAGAGGATCTCACAA